TCTGCACATTAATCCCTGAGGACTTTCCAATAATTAAGACTAATAGATACATGAACACATTCATAATCGCAAGTTCTACATGTAAACGTTTTAATTCATAGTTCATAGTTTTAGCATTCGTATACGTACATTTGCATGTTTCCAATTTTCCGAAAGTTTAAATTTTAAGCTTGTATGATAGAGGCATAGAGGTTTAGTTTAATATAAAAAATGCAATCTTTTAGATACATTGATACTGTCAACATGACTATTCCATTTAAGATCAAAACAATACATACAATATACAATACATACATACATATTTTAATACAAAGACATACAATATTATAATAAACCCAAACTCCATAAACTCACCAAGTCACCATGTATTAATTAGCCTAACTGCCAATTCATCAACGACTATGAGGGCAGTTCCTTTCTGAATGGCGAGCTTTTATTCTTCAACAAGGCAACAAATTCAGGAGACAAAGGTTCAAATTTAAGCTTCATCAGCAGACGCATACACAAATATCTGAAAATTGGTTTCCTTGATCCCACTATAAGAACGGCCGAGTTAATATTTGCAAAGTCGTTGGACCGTAACTGTTCATCAATAATAGTAATGCTACGAAGAGGAACAACTTAAATACTATAACACTAGTTGGGCTTGAACAAACCCTTCCAATATGTTCAGCCAACAGGAAACTCTTTCCAAATCCCGTAGGAAGGACAGCTAGAACATCTCTACCTTCAAGTGGGCACTCTACTGCAAGCGTTTGTTTCTGTAAGCTTGTTGTAAGACTTTCAACTACATACGTATCAATTTTCGTTGCTTCCCGCTGCCAGATAGATATTAATTTCGCCAAATGTCTGTTTACAGTATAAAGCCAGCTGAGTGATGGGTTTTAATGTTATCAGAATATTTATTGTTTTTTAACCAATCAGAATTTCCCGTTGTCTGTGCAACGGGAAAATCAAACACGCTTGACAATTAGTTAAAGCGGCAATCCCTTTATTTTTCCGCTCGTCTCCGCCCCTTTTTGCCATTTTCCCGCGCGTTCAATCTTAGTCCGGGAAACAATAAAACGAAGGAAAATAGAGGGATTGCTCGCAGTCTACAATTTGGTTAGCGGCTGTTACTTAAATCCTAACAACTCAAAAACTATTTGACCAATCTTCCTAATTTTTTCTGAGATTGTTCTCTAGGTAGTTATCTATAAATTAATGGGAGCTTTTTCGCCTATCATAAACAATAAGTATTCTATGCCAAAATTGGTCAACACCAATCAGATCTGTGCATATTATTGGTCACTATGGCAACTAAATACAGTGCAACACCAAAAGCTCCCATTAATTTCTTGGCAGGGATGTAATCTAGCTTACTAGTGAAAATGACTACTTCCTGATGTTTAGTTGTTGACTAGATAGAATTTAAAGACGGCTAGGTGAAATAATCACTTTTTTGCCTTGCCAAGAATTTTTTTCATTTATGGTTGTACCTGGTAGAACAGCTGTAATGCTATTTGTGTAGAGCATCCTATGAGCTTTAAAATGATATATAACATGTTGAATTTACATTAAACCATAATCAGATACGGTCACTATTGTACCATGGGTTCGCGAACACGAAATTTAAGGTAGCTTGCCCCCTTAAACTTAGGCCTGTTTCAAACGTCGAATTTTGCATGTGTCGAATACAATTCGCATTTCATTCGAGCGAATTCAATGAATTCGACGTTTGATTCAAACGTCGCATTTTGCATGCATTTAATTCGAAATTGTAAGTGTTGTAGAGTGTAGACACGCCCCTTCGATAGTTTTGATTAATAGATTGACATTTATTTTTAACCTAGCTGGTTAACGTAAACAACAAGAGCGAAGTTTCGCTCAAAAATAAACACAGTATGTCAGTAGGGCTATTTATACGACTATACCAGCGAAATGAGCCGTCGCTCGTCTTATTTAAAGCACGAAAAAATACTATGTAGTCCCGTATAAATGTTCTTGTTCGCGACTTTATTTTCGCTTGTATATAAACTGATCATGACATCATGCTATTGACTATTTTTCACACGAACACACACAAAAACATGAAATTATTACCATTATATGTCCTACACGCGAAATTTGATCCCATTAACACTACATGCCGTCCTTTTTACCTCGTTCCAGACTTTTTCCGCGAGCCCCACCCTAGCGAATTGAATTCGACACATGCAAAATGCGACGTTTGAAACAGGTCGCATTTAGCTCGCACTTAGCTCGCATTATGCGACCGGTCGGGTCGAATTTAAAGTTAAGGTCGACCGCAATTAAAAACGTCGCATTTAATCGTTTCAGACGTCGAATTTTGCATGCACATAATTCAAGCAATTGAATTCGACACATGCGAAATGCGACGTTTGAAACAGGCCTTAAATTCATCAAGTTTAGATGCATTATACATTTAAGTTGTTTTTTTTGGGAGGTCATCTGTGATAATAGTTGCGTAGACCATGTTATAAGCTTCACAATGATATATGGCAGGTTGCATATGCATTAAACCATAATAAGATAGAGCCGATGTTGCATCATAGATTCACAAACAAAAAATTCAGGTAGCAGGAGCCCATATTATTAATGAACGTCTTCCCTATGTTTAGCTCCATCGTCTTTCCCTGTGAAAAGCAGACATTAACAGTACTCTAAATTCGTACCTTATTCCTCACTTGTTACTCCGCCTGCGCATGCGCAGTGCGGAGTCTAAAAATGCCTGAGTCTGTTGTCGGTTGTCGACTGTCGTCAGTGTCACAAACAAGCTCCTTGATAAATGTGTACATTCCATGATATTTATATACTTTCTATTGACATTTGTGGATAATGTTATACGATTTGGCAGCGCAATGCGCATGCTTACAGCTCTGCTTACAGTATTTTTCTAAACTGCGAACTGCGAAACGGTCTTGTGCGATGACAAATACTAAACGATGAAAAATACTAAAAAGATGAATGTCAAGACAAAGCTTCCAGACTTCACTGAGGTAAGGGATACTAAACATTCTAATTTTGGTAGTACATGCTGCATTTTGGCAACAAGAAATTCTTTAAAGTCATAAATATAAATAAAAATATTCACTCCTACTGTATGTCGTAACGTCGATCTTATATTCTTGACTAGCAAAATATATTCTTGTGTGAAAGGTCCCTACAATGTTCTGAAGAGTTTAGGCTATGTAGTGTTGAGGCTATCGAGTTATTAAATATATTTCAATGTTTTGAAGAATTTAGGAAATGTAGTATTGAAGCTGTCGTGTTTATAATTTACTATACACGTTTAGTACGCAACTACCGGAAACGGCAGCCATGTGGTAGTATTAAGACAAAGAATCTCATTATTTTTTACTGAATTTCGCACATTCTTTTAATTCTCAAGGGATTGATTGCAAGACAAGAATATAATCTATAATATATAGTCATGTTAACAAATAACAGAAACGTCAGCTTCTTGAACTCACAGCCAGCTTGGGTTTGCTTGCTTTGCTCCTTCTACTGCCCTTGTGTGTTAATAAATACTATGTGTTGTGTAATGTATTTAATTCAACCCTACTAGGACTCTGGGCAGAATACCTACCAAGCCACTCAAACATGCTTTTTGGGCCTATATTATTACAATGATGGGCCAAACAGAATTGGTGTGTCAGAATTAATATCCTATTTCTGTCTCTTATAGGTTATGGCACTTTCTTATGAAATTCAAAGAAGCGTGTAAATGCCATTGCTCCTTTGAATGCCATGAATGCCAACTTAACCTTGAATGCCGTGAATGCCAACTTATCTTTGAATGCTATGAACACCAACTTGTCTTTGAATGCTTATATTTGGCTTCACTTTTCCGTCGCACCCTACATTGTCCCCACTTTCTCCGCAGGCCGGCAGGCGGAGTGAACGCCTGAGTAGGCGTCTTGTTTCATATATTTTTTGGGTTTTTTAATTTGTTGTAGTTTGCTGTATATTTGTATTAATATGTTCTGTATGTGATTTATATATATTTTTTTACACTTTGTTTTGAATAAATCCATCTGATTGTTTTATTTTTGTCACGTGATCGCTTTCATATATTCACTAGTATAAAAGCTCATGTAATTTTCCGGTGCTAACTTCCCTTTTGGGAAGTTGCATTCCCTATCAATGCGGAACCCATCCTTTAACCCGCCTCAACCAGTTCTTATCAAAATTTCATTTCATTTACGGGACTTCAATTTGCTGGCAAACCATCTAGCATTCGATCTAACTACTTCTGAGGCAAGTTGCATTAAAGCGTTGCACACAGTAGAAGTCGGTTTTGCCAATGATCGCAACAACTTTTCAGCATGACGGCTTATAACATACCTTTTTGCAACAGTTTCGCAATGTCTACTTACTGAGAGGTTTTCTATTATCTCTCATCGCAAATGTTTATTCAATAGTATCAATGGGAACGTCTTGGTAAACAGCCTTATATTTCACATGTTTAGCAACAACAGCAAAAATTATGAATTACCCGTACCATTACACACAAAGGTGCAGATGGGAATAAAACAAATGAAAAGTGTTTTCGACACGATGGTGACTGTATTTTCGTGACGTTCCTGCATTAGATTAGTACACTATTGGTACTAACGGTCATTGCATTTTCCATAAATTCAATTACTCAATGTAACACCTCAACAACGCAATATGCGAGACAGATTGCATGAAAAAATGCATCGAACTACGAGAACAAATACTTTGATATAAATTCTTAGCGAATTGTTTTTGTTTCAAAATCGTCAATAACTCTTTGTTTTCTTAAGCGAATAAAGGTACTTTTCTATGTTTGCAATGTCGTCTTATGCTAACCTCAAGCTGCTCTTGAGTTCTCCCAACATTTTGACGGTTTGCATAAGCCTCTGCAAACATAGAAATTGAAACTGTAGACACGGAATTAAGATGCAAAAGTAACCTTGCTACTGTAAAACTTATCATTAAATCTTTCCAAACACCTAATAATATAGTTTGATCAACAATTGCCAAATTCGCTATGTGCATTAAGTAAAACTATTGGGCATTTCACTTACCACACCTTGCCAATAAACGATGCAATATTTCTCCTCGACTATAAAATGTATGTTGCTGTTTAACCTTGTATTTTCCACACATGGAGCTATCGTTCATAAGACGTATATACCAAGACATTTGCACTTTCTTCATATAAAAGTATTTGCATTTTCTTTAGTCTTTAGTCTTCAGTATCCTGAGAACATGCCTTCTCATTGTTGGGAGTTTCATGTTTTGCTGGCGGATCCCTTCTCTGCTTTCTTTTTCTTATTTTTGGTTCTTTTTCTCCTAATTCTATTCTTGTCAAAATTTGCCTCCTTCACTGAATTGCTTTCGTGACCATCCGAAACATCTTGGAACTCACTTATCCATCTTTCGTCCTGTTTGTCTACTTTATATCCTTCCTCGTTTTCAAGTTCACAATCCTTGTTGTATTTCTGTTTTTTCGCCAGCTTTTTTGCTTTCCTTTTACGTTTCTTTCTTTTGACATATTTACCTTCACCCTCACTGCATTCAATTGAGTTTATCTCTTCCTTTACTTCGGAGTGTATTCTTGAAATACTGCATAGATTTTCCTCTGTATCATGTTTTTGTTTTTTATCCGAACGTTTTGACTGAATTGTTTCATTTCCCAAAGGGTTTAGTTTCTTAATCTCTTCACTGTGAGCGCCGCTGGCAAAAGAATCATGACCAGTTTCACCATCAATGGGCTTTGGTATTAACGAAACGTTTTCGTTTGAGCGTTTCCTTCTTTTGACATATGGCTTTTCTGAAGGATGCCTGTAGGTGATATTAAAAGACATGTATATGTAAAATACATATTAATCTGCATTCTTGTCAGGATCATGTGAAGAAACTACAGTGCAAGAAGCATTCTGTGACTTATAAACTATTTTTACATTGTATTGGATTGGGGTTTTGCTTAGTTCACGAATCGTTACGGCCCACGAGCTTCCGCCGCCGCCCTATGGCTTCGTTTTTTCTTGTATATATTTACCAAAAATATTGCGGACATCATTTGGAAGAGTGAGCAAGTTGTACCCGTAAGGTTAAAAATCGTAATTTGTGCACAAAAATTGGAGCATGAATTAGCTACTTTTTGCTGTGGAAACTGTGGACATTTATACTTTCAAATACGATTTGAAGTTTGCCTTTTGCCGTTAGTGGTTTGTCGTAAACGTCAATCTTAAAGTCCCTATTAAAAATGCCTCTTGAGCGGTCACTTTTTTACCTCAAAGGTCATTTTGACAGGCCACATTTTCATGCCTTCAATGCGATTGCTGATGTCTTGAATTAAAACATGAAACTATGATATATCGAAACAAGTTTCTAATAGTTTGTTTCACTGTTAGTGTAAGCGTATCAATGACGGCTCAAAAACAGATTTTGACCGAGCTAAAATCAAGCTGACTGGTCATTTTGACCGGAGACCTATCTTCAATTATTTTGAGCCCTGCGAACATTACTTGTCGACAGCTTGCGAACAGATTTGTAACAACTTTTCTGCAGACCTGTAACAGCTTGTGCGTTTTACATGTGTAGTTTAGGTTTTTATAAGATAGAATCTCATGAAGGGAAACTTACCGTTGATCTTCTTGCTCAGTAACTCTCTTTAACTTTCCATTAAGCTTATGACCATGTCGAGCAGACCTTAAAATTTCAAGGTTAATTAAAGTGTTAAGTTTGTGGATATTACGTAAATTGCAAACCATATGTAATTACAGAATGTATAAAAAAGTTAACTATTGTTAAAATGCTCATTAAGCTAACAATTTCTGTGAACATAGATATTTTGGGATCTTCTGATATTCCTAATACTGAAATTAATCTGAAAATGTAACTGCTTAGTTCAGAAAGGTTGTTTTTAAAAGCAACATGAAATGCACACAAAAATGGAAGGTTCAAAACACGATTTGAATTCATAGGGCGCAAGTTTGGAAAGTGTTTTATGAACCAACTAACAAAGTACCAGACAATTCGACGTAGGATCGTGCGTCAAACTATCTGGTACTCTGCCGATTGAAACACTTTCCAAATTTGCATGTTATGAATTCACCTTCCATTTCTGTCTCGTTCAACTGAACCAGATATATTCAAGGACTGACAAGGCAATAGCTGGAAAGTAACTTAATATTATTCAACTGGCTTTTACACATCAAACAGTTTTAGAATAGACTTACTTATGAGCCGTTCGTCCACCACAAGCTTTCAATAGTTCCTCATCAGAAAATCTGATAACAAAATCAAGTACACTTAAATTACTTCAATTACTTGGTTTCCTGCAATAACGTTTTTGGGTCAGACGGTACACTTAAAATATACTAGAAGGCTTATACATGTAAACACTTAATGACAAGTTCAGGGTGCAAATTAAAATTATAGGTCATGCTGGTTTCGACCTACAAATTTCAATTTTTGAACAAAATAAATTTTCTAATATTCAATTATTTGGATTGTTTAGTTGGTTTTTCTTTTGCTGCAAGAAATTTATCTGACAAAGCATGAAAGCATTTATAACTGATTGAAAAGTTAGCCTACCAAATTTTTCCATGAAATTGTAGGCCGCTAATTTTTTTGCCTGCAGTACAACTGCTCTCTTGTATGACAATTTGTCATTTGTAGGCCGTTAATTAATTTGCACCATGAAGTTTCAAACAGAGCACCCGAAACGGACTAACAGAAGCTATTTAGTAACACTATAGACTCGATGGATTAAGAAAGCCTGCCAACATATTGCCAACAAATTCAGCATGAAAACGTCTACTACTGTACGTTGAGTGTGTCCACCTTAAGGTTTGAATACTATAGAGAAAAAATTCCATTGGATACACTTACTTGGTTGGTAGTTTAGGATTTTCAGACTTGGATGCGACAGATACATCATTGTTGGCCTTAAAATTTTAAAATTTGTAAAGTGGAAGTATGTAATGGTGGATGACATGGTCAACAGCAATATTTTTTTAAAATATAAATAATGTTAATAAGTTACTGTGATTTCAATTTTTAGTTGAAAAGAAAATTTTATCAGGTTGCCATGCACAGAACACCCAACAGTTTCCCATTGTAGCAGAAACATTATGGATCATGGGAAGGGTAAATAATAACGTAACTAAACAGGGTACATGTATGGCTTAATGGTGATCACAGTATCACTTATCAGGCAATCTGGTTACCCTAATAATACACAACAACAAGGGGGAATTTCGTTCTTTGACCAATCAGCGCATTAGTTGACAATTCGCTCTAAGCCAATCAGAATGCGTAATTGGTTATTGTAGGTAGTTTCCCCGCGAGCACAGGAATCCCACTTCCGGTAAAAACGTACATTTGAAAAGAAAATATAAGGTCTTAAACAAAGCTTTGAGGGGGTCAGGATTTTTAATTTTTTGATTGGATTCAACGTGACAAGGTAAAATAAGAAATTTTCTAAAAATTTGCCGCTGGGATTTGTGTTTTATTGTCTAGTTCTAAAATTATCGGCATTCGAACTAAGGCCATGTTACACGGTGCAATTTTTCTTGCAACTTGCAATGCAATTCTACTCTTGAGAGATGTCAACCAGTGAAATCAGTGAAGAATTTTCGATATGTTGAGAAAACATCAGCGGAGTGTAATGAAGACTCGTACTTGGCAATTTTACATCCCTCAAGAGTAGAATTGCAAGAAAAATTGCACCATGTAACATGGCCTTTACGCACTTTTTATACGACGCTGTTCGAATGCCGATAACTTTAAAACTAGGCAATAAAACGCAAATCCCAGCGGCCAATTCTCATAAAATTTCTTATTGTACCTTGTCACGTTAAATCAAATCAAAACCTGACCCCTCGAAGCTTTATTTAAGACCCTATATTTTCTGTTCAAATGTGTGTTTTTACCGGAAGTAGTAACCAATTACGCATTCTGATTGGCTTAGAGCGAAAATGTCAACAAATGCATTAATTGGTCGAGAACGAAATTCCTCCTTGTTATACACAACACTATTCTCTTCACGCATGAAAGTGTACGACATTAGAAAGAGTTATTTTAAAGAGTAAGGCAACAATAGGCTGTATTGCATTATACAATGTTTGGCATATTACTAATTCACATGTTTCTGGTACATGATTCAGATTGGCTGTCTAAGTAAATTATTGCTGCTGTTTAATGCAGTTAATGATTAAGTGCACTTCAAACACTCATTAATAATTCATAAGCTTATTGGCAAATCATGTCAACCATAATATGTCACGTGCAGTGGCTTTAAACCTGATAAAACAATCCTAAATAGTATTCTTTATATAAAGAATACTAATAAGGCAGTATCTATTGTAGCCGTGCCCTCATTAGTATAAACTCGCAGGTCGTGTTTTATTAGGTCTAAAGCCACTCGCGCTGCGCGCTCGTGGCTTTAAACCTAATAAAACACTCCTGCTCGTTTATTAAACAGTACTTAATTTTGAGTAACTGTGTAAATTTACAGTAGCTCAAAAAAGTCATGCCATAATGTATCCAAACCATTCTGAGCCAATGTCCATTTTAAAAAGGGTCTACATGCACTATGTAGTACCTTAACGAATCTCCCATAATACAGATCTTTTTCTTTGACTCTCCATAGTTTCTTTGGTCTTGTTAGATCATTTCCTGTATCTTTCTTGGATACTTGCACCCCACTCTGTATGTAGAAGGTGAGAACTGAGAACATCACTTCAGGGACAGTATTGAATTAAGAATTGCGATATAATTGTTATATTCGTGTTAAAGATTAATAAAGAAGTTCAATATCTTAATAAATAAATAAATATAGTCAGAAGTTAAATTGTTCTTGAGACGTTACAGTAGCAATATGAAGGCTTGGTTGTTGAAGCACTGGACGTCTACCGGAATTCCAGCATTTTTGGTTGAACCGACCATTGGCCAGAGTTCTTTATATTTTTCAGCTCGGGCTACTTTCGCAATTGCAGAGGAGGACACCAGAATGGCAAAAAATAACGACAGAGGACAATATAACACAATATATCAGGTAACTTAACTCGTGCTACAGCTAGTGTGCACACCAAAATGAGTACTTTGACCAACAAGTGTTACTTATCAAGTGTGTTTATTTTCAAGACAAACCACTTTTGAAAGTCATGTTTAATTTAAAGGGTGATTCTCAAGCTGCAAGTCTTGCTCCAGTTTAGGTTGTCAGCCAGAACTGCATTTCAGGCACTCAAACCAGTCTATACGGACTTAATTCAAAATCGACTCTGATCACAGGAAATCGTTTTCTTGGGCAATTTTAAGAATTTAAAAATAGGCACTTCGACTTCCAGTCAAAATATTAAGTACTGTAAGTCGTTTACCAAACCAATAGAGAACCAGTAACACTCAATCTTATTACAAATTTGCACAAATTATACGATTTGCCTAAAGTCCTTGCTCTATTAAAGATGCGGTACAGTCCGTATGTAAACAAAGGCTTTGTTTACATTTCGGTGTCCAAAATATTGAATTTTATTCGACAACTATTTACATTTTCATGATTGCAGAGTATAATAAATTATCAAGACGTTGACAACAATCAAGCTTTGCAAGAACATAAAATGAAATAAAAACCTAAATAAATTGTTTGCATAATAAAAAGAGGGCTCCTTTGTACACATGCGCACTGTACCGCATCTTTAAGGTCAAACTAATACTTTTGTGTAACACAGTTAAGTCATGTATAGTAGTTAACCAAAATTACAGTGACAGATTTAACTACGATAGTTAAAGATGCGGTACAGTCCGTATGTAAACAAAGGCTTTGTTTACATTTCGGTATGCAAAATATTGAATTTTATTCGACAACTATTTATATTTTCATGATTCTAGAGTATAATAAATTATTAAGAGACAACAATCAAGCTTTGCAAGAACATAAAATGAAATAAAAACCTAAATAAAGTGTTTGTATATTAAAAGATGGCTCCTTTGTGCACATGCGCTGATCGGACTGTACCGCATCTTTAACAGTAACTGTAATTAATTTTAACAACATTTTTATACAACTGGACGAGTAATGATATGTTCTATGGGTTTCATAGTTGAAATGTTATTTCTATGAAACTAGTGCATAATGGTACAAACAATTGGGAAGGGTTCTTAGTATAATAGAAGCAAATGTTTTTGCATTATTCACTATTCTATTATTAGTTGTTAAGGCAGGCACAAAATGTCAAAATCTGCTGCAAATGCAATCATTGCCATTGGCATTAAACATTGAAATATTTTTTCAGGTATTATTCTTTGGAAAAGCATCAATAGATATACTGTAGTAGTGGCAGTAGTACATGGCCGGATTTTGAGTGGAAGTTTGAGGAGGTGCGCACCTCCCCTGAGATTGTTTGGCACCTCCCTGGAGGAGAACCTCCCCTGAAAAGTGATGTACCCCCCCCCCCCTGGGAAAGTTTCAATAATAGATCAAAGTGGAAATTTGACATTTGGTTACTTTTTATTATTGTAATTTTGTACTAAAAGGATGTGCGAAATGAAGAATATGGCTACAGTTTCTTCAGAAAATTTACGAAATTCGCTATGAAACGACCGCCATTTTGTTTTGCACACGGAGTGTTTCCACATTTCAAAACTGAAATTAAGAAATTTCCTTCAAATTTTCAAGAAGGAAATTTACAAATCGATTTTTCCTGTCTAATTCGAACCATAGACGGATTTTCTGGACGATCCGCTCTACAGTTTCAGATTCAAGTTTCAGATTCATATTCAGATTCAGATTCAGATTTGAATATGAAACGGGGGTACAAAATGTGGAATTGCTCAGTCTCTTTTCACGGAATAAACGTAATTCATCAAGGACATCCGTTATCAGACTATTGCGCATTTGACAAAACTATACTTTAATTTTTAGCTCATAAGGTGAAGCCAGGAAAAATCGCAGAAACTACACGACCAACGCATGAATTCTTACTGCGCCATGTTTGTCTTGACCTGTCGACAAACTTATATTTCGCTTTGTAT